TTTCCTTGGATCCGTCCCAGGGCTGGAACTCGGCCTGCTCCGCGCTGGCGGGCGCCCTGCCTCTTGGGCCAAAGCCCCGCCGCAGCATCCTGGTGCTTCACTAGGCGCGGGGGTCTCGCGGCCTCTCCTGCCTGGGGCTGGCTTCGAACTCTGATCCTCCGCGCTCAGCCTCCCAGGATGGCTGGATGCCCGGGGGGCGGGGAGGGAGTGCAGGGCTGAGGACCGGCGGCGGGACATGCTGAGACGGGAAGCGATCATCCTGGGTCTGCAGGCGACGGAGGACGGAGCCGCGCGGCCCGCCCGCGCTCTAGGAGATGAGGGCCATCTTCTCCCTGTGGATCCCCTTCACTTCCCGCGACGTGAACTCGAAGATGAACTTCTTGGCGCCGCTCTTCATCGGGATGCACTGGATCTGGAACTGGATGGCCTCGCCCGCGGGCAGCATCCTGGAACATTCCAAGCCCACAGACCCTCAGGGGGCGGGCGGGGGAGGGGCGAGGGCCTGGGCTGTCAAGTAAACATGCTGGCACCACTGCGATCGATCGCTCCGAGTCGGGGAGTCGGGAGTGGGGGCGCGGCGAGCTCACTCTTTGTCCACGGTCTGCGCGGAGCAGATGGCCAGGCTCTCGAGGGAGAAGGTGATGTGGGTGAGCGGGATGGGCAGCACGTTGAGGAAGCGGCACACGCACGTCAGCTCCTGGCCCACCTTCCCCGTGTCCGGCATCTGCGGCAGACACGGCCCACGGGGTCCACGCGCGCCGGGGGGAGTGCTCCCACAGGCCCCCCCATCCCGCCACCGCTGCACGCAGGTGTGTGCACGCACGCGCGAATGCGTGGACAGATGCTCCACAGATGCTTGGTTGTTTGCACACACAATTTCACCACTGCGTGGGGGTCAGCCTGCATCTCCTTGTGATGTCAAGGCTGCCCACAGCTACGGGTCCAACCTCAGGGTCAGGATTACAGGCGTGTGCTGCCACACTGGGGCTTGATCTTAGGACCAAGCTATTTTTGCTCAAGGCAGGTTCTCTACCCCTTGAGCCACAGCGCCACTTCCCGTTTCCTGGTGGTTCCTTGGAGATCAGACTCTCACGGACTTTCCCATCCAGGGCTGGCTTTCACTGGCGATCCTCACCTCTCAGCCTCCTGAGCAGCTGGGATGACAGGCATGAGCCACACAGCCCTGGTCCTAAGCTCCGCTTTGCAGGAATGACCAGAGCTGCATTGTGGACGAGGTACATCCATACAGGCTTGGAGGCCACTGGGCCCACAGCCCGACAGAGATGGAAGTGGGGGCCACATGGGGCGGGGGGCTCACCAAGGCTTCCTGCAGCCCCAGCTCACTCAGGACCTTGGAGTTGGCTTTTCCCCCTTGGTGAACTGAGGCCCGGGATTTACTCCCTGGAAGGCCACGGTGGCCCATATGCTAAACACCAGACTCTGGCATAAAGCTTCTAGAAAGCTGGTACCAGTGGCTCACGCCTGTCATCCTAGCTACTCAGGAGGCTGAGAGCTGAGGATCACGGTTCCAAGCCAGCCTGGGCAGGAAAGTCCGTGAGACTCTGATCTCCAAGGAACCCCCAGAAAACCCAAAGGGGTACCTTGGCTCAAGTGGTAGAGCACCCGCCCTGAGCCAGGCCTGGGACCAGCACAAAACTAGAGTCTGCACCCCGCCCCAGAGCGCTGCCATCAGTGGGCCGCGTGGGAAGGCAGCGGGCGGCTCACCTCGACAAAGAAGTTGGAGTACACGAAGTGGAGTGTGTCATCCTTGCCCGTGCTCTCCTCCGACTTCAGGTCCTGCGCCAGGAGGGTGACGCTCACTACCACCTCATCGTCTACCACGCCCAGCTTGGTGATGTAGGTGTCCGGGGACACAATGAACACCACTTGGGCTTCTGCGCGAGAGGGGCAGGGGGAAGAGAGCACTTGACACTGAGCCCACATGGCCACGAGTTCGGGGTGGATTAAAACACTCAACCTTGGGCCACAGCGCCACTTCTGGTGGTGGTGGGGGGGGGTCCATTGGAGACAAGAGTCTCAACAGTCTTTCCTGCCCGGGGCTGGCCTCGAATCGCGATCCTCCAAGACCTCAGCCTCCTGAGCAGCTGGGACGACAGGCAGGTGCCCGGCGGGAATGCACACGGCCCTGTTCCATACCTTCCCCTTTGACCACCTCCTCCTTGTTGACCATGGCGAGCTGCGCCACATTTTTGCCCGTGTAGGTCTGCAGGTTGACGGAGGCGGAGAAGTTGAACCTCCGTGTCTCCTCGGTGGTGCGCCTGAGCAGCACGGTCATGACCACGGGCCTGCCCATCTCCACCGTTTCCTCCATGATGGACAGCTCCAGCAGACCCTGCTTGCGCAGGTCCTGCGGCGGCCTCGGAACTTGCAGGAGAGAGTATGCGTGGTTCATGGCCTCTCTCTCTTCCGCCGAGCCTACGGAGACACGACGTGGCGTTTGGGCAGCGCTGGTGGCTCACGCCTGTGATCCTAGCGACTGAGGAGGCTGAGCGCTGAGGATCGAGGGTGGAGGCCTTCCCCAGGGGAAGCACAGTCTTGTGAGACTCTTTATTTCGGACGAATCACCAAAAACCAAGGCCAGAAGTAGAGCGCCAGCCTTGAACACGAGAGCTCAGGCACAAGCGCTTTGCCCGGGCCCTGAGTTCAAGCCCCATGACAGGCAAAAAAGGGAAGAAATCAGGTCTGACTTTATAAAGCCAAAATGAGCCCGGACTGCGATCCTCCTATTTCCGCTTCCTTTACTTGCAGAGATGGATGGATGCCGTTAACGCAGGTGTCTGCTCCAGAGCCCAGCCTGGCTACAAATCGCCTCCCCTCCCCCCCACCCCACAGTACCACCAGCAGCAGCACTCCCCCTCCCCCCGGCCAGGCCCAAGCTACCTTCGGGGTACTTATACTGATAGGTGATGTCGTGGCGCCGGTCCTGGCCCACCGCCTTGGTGCTGATGTTCTTGCCGATGCTGTCGGTCTCCACGGCGATGAGGCTGTACACGTCCTCACCGCCCACCTTCTTCAGCAGCCAGATCAGCTTGTCCCCGTTCACCTCGGTGAAGATGAACTTGGTGTCGTAGCCCAGGAAGATGTCGCCGTTGCGAATGGCGGGCAGCGGGGAGGGCCCGCAGCGGAAGATGCCTGTGGGAATGGTGGCCGTCAGGGGTCACCCCAGGGGGCAGACCATACACTGGGTTGTGTGGGGGGGGAGGGGGGTGGCGGCAGCGGAACCTGCCCAGGAGTCAACACTCCCACCACTGGCCACATCTGGCCAGGGACTGCTAAGTAGTGCACGCCTGTAATCCCAGCCACTCGGGAGGCTGAGTTCTAAGGATCCTGGTTTGAAGCCAGCCCAGGCAGGAAAGCCCATGGGACTCTGACTGCTGATGAACCAGCAAAAGGTCGGAAGTGCTCAGCTGGGTGCACTTCGGGTTCTGGTGGTTCATTGCAGATCAGAATCTCACAGCTGTTCCTGCCCAGGCTGGCTTTGAACTGCGATCCTCACATCTCAGCCTCCTGAGTAGCTAGGATGACAGGCGGGAGCCACCGGCGCCCGGCTAGATGAACTGTGAAGATGGCTTTCTGGCTGGAGGTCAGGGTTTCCGCTCCCAGCAATCAAGAGGCTCGCAGGGGCTCTTAGCATCGCACTCGGTCTCATCTCAACCCGTGCCGGGTGTATCTGTGCACACCTGTCAGCCTCAATGGACATGGGAAGCACAAATAGGAGGATCACAGCCCAGGTGCGATCCCACCCAGAAATCACCAAAGAAGCCCAGGCACCCGTGGCTCCCGCCTGTCATCCCAGCTACTGAGGAGGCTGAGAGCTGAGGATCGCGTTCAGGACCAGCCCGGGCAGGAAAGTCCTTGACACTCTTCTCTTCAATGAACCACTCAGGTGGAAGTGACCCAAGTGGCAGAGTGCCATGAGTTCCAGCCCCAGGACCAGTAGAAAGAAAGCAAAAAGGTTCCTGGAGGCATGGTTCAAGCACCTGGCCCAGCACATGCAAGTTCAATTCCCAGGACCTAAGGAATAACTAGCCGGGCTGCAGGCGTAGCTCAAGTGGCAGAGGGGTGTCTAGTAGTGACAAGATCCTGAGTTCAAACCTCAGCTCTGCTTCTGAAAAGCAGCCATGCCAGCCGGGCACTGGTGGCTCACACCTGTCATCCCAGCTACTCAGGAGGCTGAGATCTGAGGATCGTGTTTAAAGCCAGCCCAGGCAGGAAAGTCCGTGAGACTCTGATCTCCAATGAACCACCAGAAAACCCAGAAGTGGCGCTGTGGCTCAAGTGGTAGAGCGCTCGCCTTGAGCTGAAGAGCTGAGGGACAGCGCCCAGGCCCAGAGTTCAGGCCCCACGACCA